GTAGTACGTACGTACGTACGTACGTACGTACTACTACTACTACTATATATTATACTTATAGTACGTAGTACGTACGTACGTACGTAGTACGTTAGTAGTATATACTATATATATATATATATATATAGTAGTAGAGAGAGAGAGAGAGAGAGAGAGAGATAGAGATGGAAAAGTCTTAAAATACCGTGATTTTTTAATAGTGTTTTACCCCACCATGGACTTGCTATGTCCATGACTCAGTACGCTTTACACAACATCCATCTTTAAGATGGACATTGAAGGGTCAGCGGCCTCTTGCACGTGCTGACTCATGGAAACTTTTCTGATATATATATATATATTTGTAGAATATACTACAAAACGCCTATAGGCGAAAATGAACAGTGACTTCGCCTACCCTCGTCACTATCCAAACTTCATCGTACGGTCATAATTATCTAGTAGTGTTTCATTTTTTATTTATTTTTACTAATCAGAGTGATCTAAAATTTGGAGCGTGTGTACATTGTAGTGAGGTGCACTTAATAAAAATATAAAAAAAATAATTCGCAAAAAATAAATTGATCAAAATACCCCCGTAAATTGGAAAACTTCATTTTTCATATATATAAATGGAAAAGTCTTCCCAACGCCTATAGGCGAAAATGAACAGTGATTTCGGTTACCCTCATCACCATCAAAACTTCATCGCTCGGTCACAGCTGTCCGGTAGTGTTTCAATTTTCATTTTTTTTCTACAAATCCAAATTCCTTGAAATTTGGAGCGTGTGTACATCTTAGTGAGAAGCACGTAATAAAAATATGAAAAAAACATAATTCGTGAAAAAAATTGACCAAAATAACCCCGAAACGTTTTGGGGTATTTTGGTTATTTTTTTCACGTAAAATATTTTTTTGATATTTTTGGTAGATTCACCTATTTTTGATGAGCACACGCTTCAAATTTCAAGGCATTTTAATTTTAGAAAAAAAAATAAAAAATAAAATACTATCGGACAATCGTGACCGTGCGATGAACTTTGGATGATGATGAGGGCAGGCGAAATCACTGTTCATTTTCGCTTATAGGTGTTTTGTTAGTATCTTTCTATATATATATATATATATATATATATAAAGAGAGAGAGAGAGAGAGAGCTACCAATAGGTTGATACCTTAAATGAACAGTAATTTAAGGTATGGTCCCAGCTATCGAATCTTGATCGGATGGTTGAAAATACATGTTATTATTTAAATTTTTATTTTTTGACAAATTGGTTCAATATGAAATTTAGAAGTGTGTGTACTACATATTAGGGTGCATAAAATTTAAACAAATATTTTCAAAATATAAAATGACCAAATTACCCCTAAAAATGATGGGGGTAATTTGGTTATTTTAAATTCATGAGAATATTTTGTTATATTTTCCTATGGCATATAATGGTATCAAGTATATACGCCTAATGTTTTAGCTTAATCTGATTTGTAGAAAAAGATTAAAATTCAAATAATAACATGTATTTTCAACCGTCCGATCAAGATCTGGCAGTTGAGAGCATAATCTAAATTACTATTCATTTTAGGTACAACCTATTGATAGCTTTATGTATGTGTGTGTGCACACGTGAGTGCATGTGTGTGTAGGACCTCACTTTTGTATGCCAGCTCAAGTGAGGTGCGCACAACCTCAAAATTTGAGATCAATCCAAATTATGAAAAAGAATTTAGAAATTAAAATACTAACACACAAGCATAGCCATTTGAACGGCCTAAATTCAATTTAGGCCATTGGGAGTATATTGTTTTGTATAGGAAAATACTTAAGACATCTATGAGAGAATTTCTACAGTATTTGCTCGTAAGCGCCCAACCATCTGCATTTGATTAGACAGCCACAGTCATCTGTCAAGACGTGCTGGTAGTATTTAAGTTTTATTTTATTGTCTAAAATTTGGATTGACCCGCTACCTTAAAATATAACAAAAAATAATTCAAAAATAAGAAGTGATCAAAATATCCCTATGAATGTTGCAGGGGTATTTTGGTCAATTTTTTTTTTATAGGTACACCTAAGTGAGGTGCACAGTCGCTCAGAACATCAAGTCTATCCAAATTGAAAAAAAAATAAATTAAAATCCATAGACTAACACGGGACTATGGGTGTGGATTGAATCTTGATGGTTGGAAGCCTATGCGTGAATGTAGAAATTATCTCATAGGCGTTTTTAAGTCTTTTTGATACACAAATAGACACAAACACATACACACACACATGCATGTGCAAGGTTTCTCTTTTCAGGTTTCTCTCCTTTGTGCACTGCTCACGAATTCTCTAATGCTATCCTTCTTTGTTACAGAGGGATTTGCCACTAGGCATGCTTGTATGTGTGCTATCTTGTGTTGTACTGTATATTGGTGTATGCTTGGTGATAACTGGAATGGTATCATACAAGTCGCTCGGTGTGGATGCTCCATTAGCTGAAGCTTTTGCCGCAAAGGGACTGAAATTTTTTTCTGTTGTGATCAGTACTGGTGCAGTTGCGGGCCTTACTACGAGCCTTCTTGGCCAAATTTATGCAACGGTGAAATATATCCTGCATCTTGACATTTTTATTTTTTTCCTCCTTGATCAATACGAACATTGATATGATTAACAATGATGCCGCTGGGGGTCAGGGGGAAGAGAGAGAGGAGGGGGGGGGAGAGGGGACATGACTCGATTATTGTGTCCCACTGTCCATCTAGCACTGTTCACCATTTCATCGAAAGTTGATGACCCTAGTGGACTATGTTTTCATCATCTATTAGATTAGAACAGAATTTTCTTCTTGTTTTTTTTTTCTCAATATACATTTCCAATACTGTATCTATGCTGAATGTGCCTTTTATTAAGGATATGCCTTTCTTTCCTACCAGTCACGTGTATATGTCGGGCTTGGAAGGGATGGTCTATTGCCATCATTCTTCGCTAAAGTGCACCCAACACGCCATATCCCTAATCATTCACAGGTTTGGGTTGGTACCATTGCGGGAATCATGTCTGGTTTCTTTGATGTGCATCGTCTCTCTCATATTCTTTCGGTTGGTGGGTTGGTATGCTCTCTGACCTTTCTTTTGGCATAAATTTCTGACATAAATTCTAATGGATTTCTCTGCAAAGCGGTTTACGATTGTTCTCATAATTCTACAAGAGCCGTAGAAGATGCTTAATTTGTCTTCGCCTTCTTCAAAGTAGATTAAACCACTCGAATCATATTAATTTTTAGTGACATCTCTAAATTAGAGTTTCTGTGATATTTGGTTCATTTAAATTTTTCTGCTTCTGTTTCTCTACGAACTATTTAAACATTATTGGAACAGCTAAAAACACCCCAATTCTATGACAGAAGTACCTGGGGCTGACTGTGTTGCCTGGTAATACGGAGATCTTCTTATAATCCTCAGTATCCCCATGATAGAATCGAACTCCCTTTCTGCATGATTGTTATCCCCATTATTTACTTCTTTATGTTATTGAGCTATGAGAAGAGCAAACATGTATATTTCTGTAGCATTTATGCTTATAGTTCCTTTCATTATTGTTCCTAGCTTTTTATGCCTTCGATGTACTCTCTGTTCCTGTTTGCTTTATAAACATTTCTTTTATGTTGGTTCTTATTCCGGTGCAATGCATATGCCAGTAATTAATCTGTCCTCTGTACTATTTGGTTTTTACTATGAAATTTGTGCATTGATTTAGCTTTTAAGAGCAATGTTACCTTATGAGATGCTGATTCATTCACATTGAACATTTTTAACCATGTATCCTCTTTTGACAGGCTAGCTCTTCCATTGTTTCAGCCTGTGTTGTAACTCTTCGTCTAAAACACAAGGACACAAGGTTAGCCTACATGATGGGGATAACAACATACCAGAAGGGTGTCATCTGCCTTCTTGGAGTCGCTTCTTGTGGCTTCCTTGCTGGGCTTTCCTGTCAATCCAATGTCTCAAGTATCAGTATTTTGGCAGTAGTTGTGATGGCAGTGCTATTTGCGATAGTTCTTCACTATAACGAAGTAAGTTTTATTTTGTGTATGGCTCGGACTTGTAGTTTTCTACATGAGCTCTGTCTCTATCTCTCTCCCTATTTATATATCAATATAGTAACGTAACTCGGAAGTTGGAATGCTTTTATTTAGTGAAAATTGTAACTCCGCTAAAAGTTCAAATATCACACTCTTTAACATCTAGATTATGGAACATATGGCATGCTAATCGTTTTGTTCATGTATCATGCAAGATGATAATATAGACTAAAAAACATCTTTTACTTGGGATGCTGTGTAATATTTATTGGTAAATAAAAGAAAATTATAGATTTTTTTTTGGATAGTTCAGTCGTAGGATTCGAACTTGAGATGTAGCCCACCATTATCTCTCACATATATCCATTTACCATATTGAATTTCTTATGTATGGAGCTTTAAGCTAATGTGACATCTTGCCATGCTTATTATGCTATAAGTATGGCATTCCGTGTCACCTTCCTTTTTCTCTTTTTTATGATAATTGCTCCTCTCTCTCATAATGTATGCTTCCTATACTTTCATCCAGTATGCCATATTGAATCAACGGAATGGAATGGTTTGTGCATGTTCTTATTTTCTTTTACTGCCTTTGTTCATTCCTTTGATGCTTATATCAGGAATTTACTGAGCCTTCTGGGTTCTCATGCCCTGGAGTTCCCTTTGTGCCATTGGTTTGCATCTTCTTCAACTTGTTCTTGTTCGCTCAGGTAACATCCCTAATGTGTCGTCGTTTAAAACCTTAGTGTTGATATTTGGTCCTACTGGGTATTTCAGTTTTTTCTCTTTCCTTTTGCAATTTTATTCTATTCTTAGAGTTTTCCTCTTTTTTTTTCCTTTTTTTTTTGGTTTACATTCTTAGAGGGCTCTGTTATTTAAACATGATGGATCACAAAGTGACTAATATGTTTGGATCAGTAGACAAGTTTTCACCGGCTTGCACATTGAGCAACCAAACCTTTGCTCTCCTTACAGAGAGTTCATGTTAAGAATATTCCCCTTCATGTGCACTCATGCATATCACATAGGAATCTCATAACGTGCACACGCAGTATTGCTCCCTTAGTATGAATCTCCATTGATAGTCTCTCTCCCTCGCACCCACGCTCACGCTCATGCACACACACACATGTATAAGTACATTGTACTCCTATGCTAAAACTTTATGATACCCTTGTTATGCAAAATAGAGTAGACACACACACATGCAGCACATTTATTCGATTGGCCGTTGACTTCAATGGTGAACTGGTTCTTTTGCAGCTTCATTGGGAGGCTTGGGTCAGATTTGTAGTCGTGAACATTGTGAGCATAGGCATTTATGCTGTTTATGGACAACATCATGCCAATGTGGCTGCTTCAGACCTTCAATCCATCCCCTACCATAAACTCCCATCAGGGGAATCTCAGTAGTTTGTAACGGATATTATTGGACTAATGGGAAAAACGATTGAAAAGTATATAAATGCCAATGTATATAAAAATTGATATATGTCGCATTTGTCAAGAAGAAAGGGATACATACTATAAGACTCTTTATGTTGTGGTCCATGATCACAATTATACCTAGTTGTCATGTCGGAAATTGAGCGGCTAGGGATGCTGCGAAGTTCAAAAAGATTCTTCTTTGACCTTCAACAATGTCCATTGCCCCCCTGTTGGGAGGGGAGAATCAAACTGAAGGTGATTGTCATCAGTGTTTGACTACTCGATCTGAATACCCAGTACTCATGCTTTCCCCTAGTTCGGTGTCCTCAAGGATATTAAAAAAATTAAAAAATAATCATAAAAAAATCCTAAAAATTAAGTAATTTATTTATGAAATGTTTATTTTTTTTTCTTTTTTTCTTTTTTTAAACGTTTTATATCATTTTGGCAAAATTGAAAAGTGTTTTGATCTGAAGTACTTATGTCTACATTTTTTCATATTTTTGGGATTATTTCAAAATACTTCTAGTCACAAGTAGATTTTTTTAAATTTATTTTTTATTATTTTTTTTAATTTCATTTTGATGTGTTTTACCGGGGCTATTTTTTCGCTCGCCATCTGAAAGAAAGTAGGAAGGCTAAAGTCATAAACCAAAATTTAAGAAGTCCATTTTATTTTAAAAATCAACTCAAGTGGCCTTTCTCTAAGAAGCCCTCAATAGTGGAGTTTTTGCATATTTCATTAAGGATCAGCTAATCAAGTGATTTTTTTTTCCAGTTCTTCCCCTCACTTTGAATCAGATTTTTCTTCCTATTATTATCAATGATATAGGTTGGATCATAGATACAGAAATGTAAGGTGGATCTCCCCTATTCTGTCAACAAAACAAATGAAATTGTTGCTCACATAGGAACCTGCTTCTCTGTTTTTTTTTTTAGAAAAGGTACATAAATTTGTGCGATGTAGAGTGAATTAGGAACTGTTTTTCTGTAGTCACATTCTCTGAAAAAGTTGGGTGACATTTCTGTTGGACTTGAGATTTATGTGGGATTCTTGAATGCTCATTTTAAGTTTAAATTTTAGAAATCTCAATTCCATCAAAATAGGTGGAATTGACATTTTATGGAAATCATTCATTTTGTTACTAAGGAACAAAAAATTATTAAAATTTTAGAGAGGGAAACTGTATCAAATTTTAATATGAAATTTTAAAGAGAGAACATACTAAAATTTTAAAGAGGGAAGCTATATCAAATTTTAGAGAGAGAATATACACAAATTTTTAGAGAGAAAATATACAAAAAAAATTTAGAGCTAAACTATCTCAAAATTTTAGAGTAACTTTCTCAAATTTAAAGTTTTAGGGAGACCGTATTAAAATGTTTTAGAGAGAGAAAGTATCTCAAATCTTAAATTTTAGAGAGAGATTGTATCTTAAAATTTTAGAGAGAGAAACTACATTAAATTTTAGTTAGAGGAAATATCTCAAAACCTTTAGAGAGAAAAATTATCTCAAATTTTAAGTTTTAAAGATGGCATATTAAAATTTTAGAGATTAGAAACTATAACAAATTTTAGATAGATAAACAACTTGAAATTTTTTAGAGAGAGAAACTATTTCAAATTTTAAGTCTTAGAGAGAGAAAATATTTTAAAATTTTAGAACGACAAACTATATCAAATTTTAGATAGAGAAAGTACCTGAAATAATTAGAGCGATAAACTATATTAAAATTTTAAACTATATTAAAAGTTTAGAGAGAGAAACTACTTTAAAATTTTAGAGAGATAGACTATTTAAGTTTTAGAGATAGAAAGCATCTTAAAATTTTAGAGAGAGTAATTATATCAAATTTTAGAGTGAGAAAGTACTTGAAATTTCTTAGAGCGAGAAACTGTCTCAAAATTTTTATAGAGAGAGAAAAGAAAAGATTTATATTTCTAAAAAAAAATATTCCTGACAATCCAAACAGGAAATTTACATTTCTTTTATTTCTACCTGATGCGATCCAAACAACATACACTATATTTCCAAGAAATGTCAATTCCAATAAATATCAGGTCCAGGATTGACTTTTTTAAGGATTGAAAAATCTAGGGATCCAAACGGGCCCTTAAGGAAGTTGCATAAGTGAATATATAGCCTACAGAAAAGTGGGCTTGTAGGGCTTTGAACTCGAATAAATTACCTACAATAGAAGTAAATATATTAGTAATAGAACCTTTCACCAAAAAAAAAGATTTTAAGTCCCAAAATAGTACATCTTGCATTACATTCTTTATACTCTATATTTTCAAGATTTTCATGTATTTATAGATCTACTTGATTTAAATTATTTTTTTAATTAAAAAATTTATAATTAAAAATGACAATGGTACATCTTGCAGTACAATTATTTATATTATCTATTTTCAAGATTTTCATGTATTTATGGATCTACTTGATTTAAATCATTTTTTAAATTTAAAAATTTATAATTAAAGATGTCAATAGATTCGGCCATCCTAAAAAATTTTGATATAAAAATTACATCTTATAACAAAGTATGAGGTGCACTTTATTTTCATCGTTTAAGGTTGCAACCTCATGCAAACCTTACCCGTAAGACTTAAATTTAAACTTCTTAATCACGCCAGTTGATTTTGTAGGGGTGAGGCTGCAAACACACTATGCGGCTGCGCAACCCTGAGGGCCGCAATTTAAGACCATGCGTCTTGCACATGAGGGCCATACAATGCGGCTTCGAGCAGGACTCATGGCGAAGCCGTAGCCACAGTCACAGTCTTTCAGAATCTGGTTGTGATTCTAACGCCTCTAGATGCTAGGAGGGCAATTACATCTAGAGAGAGAATGGAAAAAAGGTTCAGAGAGAGAGATTGGCGGGAAATTGGGCGACCAGGGAAAGAGGAGGGGGGAAGAGAGAGAGAGAGTTTGGCCGGTAAAAGACCGGGACCAGCCGGAAACAGAGAATTGGAATATATATATATCCAGAGAGAGAGAGACAGAGAGAGAGTTGGC